GGAGGAAGGGAGGGAAGGAGGGAGGGAAGGAGGGAGGGAGGGAGGGAGGGAGGGAGGGAGGAAGGAAGGAAGGGGAGGGAAGGAGAGAGGGAGGGAAGGAGGAAGGTAGGGAAGGAGGGAGGGAGGGAGGGAGGAAGAGAGGCAGGGAAGGATGGAGAGAGGGAGAGACGAAGGACAGACAGATAGACGGATGGAGGAGTGAGGAGAGAGGTAAGGGTATGCAGGTTGAGGAAACCTACGATACTTAAAGCACAAAATGACAAAGTAGAATTGTACGCACGGGATCCCTGTTGTAGCCCTACGCCAAGTTCAAATAAATAGCAGAGCCTGATATAGAGACCTCTTTGGTCAGACTGGACAGGAACACGCACATGTTCATTCCTGTCTGCTCCTGCTTTTCATTTGTCTCAAAGGCAGCTGTACATCACCAGGTAGAAACAAGAATGGGCCTCCCCTTTGCTTCAGACGATGGCTGATCATAATTTCCCTGTGTGTGATCTAATAAAAAGACAAATTTCTTTCTTTCTTGATACAAAATTGGAAGCCAGGCATGATGAGACAAACCCGTCGCTCCAGTAACTCAGAATATTGAGGAATGATCGTGAGTTCAAGGCCAACTTGAACCTCCAGGCCAGCAACAAGCTCCAGGCCAGCTGAAACCATAGAGTGATTCATTGTCCTAAAACAACCTAAAATTAAAAAAACAATACTGCTGAGCTGGAGAGGTGGCTCAGAAATTAAGTGCACTGGCTGCTCTTTGAGGGGATCCAGATTCAGTTTCCAACACCCATGTGGCAGCTCACAACCATGTGTAACTCCAGGTCCATTGGGTCCAGTGTCATCTCTGGCCTCTATAGGCAATGCACACAACAGCCATATATGTATAATAAATAAATAAACCTTAAAAATACCGCTTAGGCACTTACAACTCATAGATGCTAACAAAATTAATAAAGCAACAGCTTTAGACAGTTTAAAAACTAACAGACACCAAACCCAGCATCTCCCAGAACTTACATATTAAAGCATGACCCTAATGCCAATGAAGTTTCAGGCTTTCCCTGATATAGACACGGAGGACCACAGCTGAAGACAGATTTAGATGACAACAGACTCTGTGTTAAACTTGAGTTGAGAAAGAATTATAATAATCTCCTTGATAATCTCTAAAATCCATTTAACATATCTTATAATTTTCACATTGCTAGTGAAGTTCCTCATTGGATACACATAAGACTTGTAACAGCAGTGCCTGAGTCGTAACCAGGATCGAGCACCACTGTGCCTTCCAGATGCATTTTTAATTGACTGTGGTGCTGGGCTGCACCGTCAGAGTCATTGGCATCTGGGAAGATTGCTTTCTGGGTGGGCTCTGTGAGAACCTATTGAGTAGAGGGACAGGTCTCCTTGTCATACATACATACACCCTAGCTCTAAGATGCTCTCCCAGAGCCCCTGGAGATCTCCTTGGTATCTTCTTCTGCATGTTGGAAACTAAGCACATAGCAGCAGCAGATGAGGGTCCAAGGCTGGCTCCCTTGAAGGGTTGACGTTTCATTTGTGTGATCTTCTCATCACACCTTTTCCACTTGCCCTGAGTGTCAGCCAGGAGCATGAAACATGTGTGCTCTTCATCTATGTCCACCCCAGCCTTCACCCATGCAGCCACCACCTGAGACTCTTAAATGGTGATGGCCTGTCATGGTCCTGTCAAGGGAGAGCAGAGAGTAGCAGGTCCTGGGGTGGAAGTTGGTACTGAGGATTGTGGAGAAGGAGAAGTGGGGAGAATAAAAGGGGGGAGTGTGGGTAAGTGCACAGAGTTGGGTCCTACTTCTTTTGCTTGGGAGAGAGTAGGGGGGTCCAGCAGCAGAGTACGTAGAAGAAGTGCATTCTGGGAAGGGAAGACAAGCCATTTCACCACCTTTGAAATCACCTCAGTTATCATCATGATGATATCATGGGCAAATTGCTCAAAACAACCAGCTGTTTGACTGCCCTGATTCATCACTGACTAGAGGAACATAACTTTCAGGGTTTAAATGACTATTTCTCTATGAACCACAAGTAAAAATAAAGTTTCTTTCATGAAATATTTATTAGCTGACTCAAGAGATGTCTCAGTCCTTAAGGGTGTTTGCTGACCATACAGAGGACTCAGGTCCTAGTCTCAGTACTCATTCTGGAGGGCTCACAACAGCATGTAACTCCAGCCCTAGGAGATACTGACTCATTATCTGGCCTCTGTGGAAACCCCTACTTGAAGCACACACACTCCAATTTGTATATATATGTGTATATGTATATATCTCTGATATTTTCACGTGCTTTCTTTCCATGGGATAATATAATTTATAAACATCACTTTGTCATAAATAATATATTTTCATCCACGTGTGTGTTTACGTGGGCCTGTGGGTCTGCAGAGGCAAACAGACAGCAATGGGTTCCACTGAGATCACGCTCCACGTTATTCCCTTAAGACAAGGGTTTTAGTTATGGTTACTGTTTCTATGATGAAACACCATGACCTAAAGCAAGCAGAGGAGAAAGAGTTTAATTGACTTATGCTTCATCATCATAATTGAAGGAAATCAGGAACTCACACAGGCAGGAACCCAGAGACCAGAGCTTATGCAGAGGCCATAGAGGGGTGCGGATCGCTGGCTTGCTCATCATAGCTTTCTTATATTTTTGGTTGTGAGCCTAGCCTTTAACAGCTGAGCCATCTCTCCAGCCCATCATCATGGCTTTCTTATAGTACCCAGGACCACCACCGGAGAGATGGCACCACCCACAATGGGCTGGATCCTCCCCCCATTGTTCACTAATTTAGGAAATAAGCTACAGGCTTGTTCACAGTCTGGTCTTTTGGAAGCGTTTTAATTGAGGTTCCCTCCTCTCCAATGAATGACGGTAGCTTGTGTCAAGTTGACATAAAAGTAGCCAGCACAACATGGTCTCTAACTGGACCAGCTGAGATAGAAGCCAGCAGCCTCCATGGTCCTGCTGGGGCCCAGTGCTGCTGTTGCAGGCAGACATTTCCACACACAGTTTTCTACAGGCATGGTCAGGTTCTTGTGTTCACACAGCAACTACCCGTACACACTGAACTATCACAGTGTCCAATACTGATTGGCTTTTAAAGTATATGTGTCCAGTGAAGCTGATATAAAACATTCCAAAATAAAATAAAATAAAATAAAATACTAAATGTGAGCCAGTACTTGGACATGGGGACATTGGATGTGTCTCCTCTTTGGCATTGTCCTTGGCTTTCCAGTATTCTTCATTTGGCTCTGATCACTTTGATTAGAAAAACTTCTTGCTCCAGGTGGTAGTGGCGCACGCCTTTAATCCCAGCACTTGGGAGGCAGAGGCAGGGGGATTTCTGAGTTCGAGGCCAGCCTGGTCTACAGAGTGAGTTCCAGGACAGCCAGTGCCACACAGAGAAACCCTGTCTCGAAAAAAAAAAAGAAAGAAAGAAAGAAAGAAAGAAAGAAAGAAAGAAAGAAAGAAAGAGAGAAAAACTTCTTGTGGTGGTTTAAATATGCTTGGTCCAGAGGGAGTGGTATTATTAGAGGAAGTGTGTCACTGTTGGGGGGTGGCTTTGGAGGTCTCCTATGCTCAGGATTCACCCATTGTGGAAGTGAGCTTCTTCCTAGCTGCCTGAGGGTCCCAGTCTCTCCTGGTTGTCTTTGAATCAAGATGCAGAACTTTCAGCTCCTTCTCCAGTACCACATCTGTCTGCACGCTGCCATGCTTCTTGCTATGATGATAATGGACTAAACCTCTGACACTGTAAGCCAGCCCCAATTAAATGTTTGCCTTTATAAGAGTTGCCTTGGTCATGGTGTCTCTTCACAGCAATGGAAACCCTAACTAAGACACTTCTACAGCAATATTTTACATGACACATATTTTATAGACTTAAAAGTTTTCTTCATTTTTGTTTGCTTACTTGCTATTACTGTGCAGCTCAGGCTGGCCTGGAAATTGGTATGTAACCCAGGCTGGCATCAAACTCTTGATCCTCCTGCCTCATCCTCCCTACATAGAAAAGGGTTGCAGGCATGTGCCACCATGCTTGGCTTTTGTTCTGCTTTTTAAGAAATTGATTGTATGAGAGATTTATCTTGAAAAGAGGAAAACAGACTGTGAGAATATATATGCTTATCACACTGTGTACATCTCGTGACCCCTTTGCTGGTTATAGGAACCTCATATAAGTCTTCAAATCCTTCCAGGGCCAGGTGCAGTGCACTTGTAGACTAGCTGCTGAGGGGGAGGGCTTGACATGGAAGGACGATGAGACTCTGGAATTTTCGGCCAGGCTGAGCAACAAAGACAAAGGACATTGATTCTAAAGCCTGACAGAGTCTAGTAATTCTGGTCCACACACACGACACACACCCCCTCGCTGCCCAGCCTGCTTAGCCCACCCCTTTTGTTCCTTGTCTCCTCTTACACACTTTCAAGACCACATTTTCAGAACTTCCACAGTATTGTCTTGTCCTCTGAAACCTTCAAGACAACTGATGGCCCTTCTTCTTCTGAAATCGCAGGTCATTCTATCCATGTACACAGGCCTGAGCAGTGGGATTTCTGGACATGACACCACACCTGCCTAGTGAGAATGAGCAGGCGCAGTGCACACTCACCACATGGTCCATTGCCTCATTATTAGGTCCTGAAAGCTGAAGCCACTCGATGTCTAGCGGTCCAAGGTCCTCAGGGCTAAGGGTGAACAAGCAGGGTAGATGGACAGTTTCCCCTCGGGCTTCCTGAACTGTCTGCTCTGGAGTAGTGATGCTCACACTCCCAATGAGATCTGGAGGAAGGGAGAGAGGGAGGGAGGGAGGGAGGGAGAGAGAGAGCACTGAACATCTATCTGCTGTCACTCACTGGCTGGCTCCAGGCTGAAGCCACTCAGGAGACAGGATGGGGAGATGTGGGTGAGGCCTGGACCTAGAAGGATGCAGATCCCACCTGGGGATACCCTGGTTAGTTTGTGGCTTCATGAAGTGGAGTGACTATGAGCATTTCCTCATCCTAAATGATTGCTTTAAAGAACCATCACCTTCCAGGCATTCTGCAGACATGAATTCCACCAGGAAGCTCTTGCTCTTCCCAGCAGGCACACACAAGGGAACTTAGCTAGAGCTCTGGAGATCAGTGTTGTCTGCAAATGCAAGGCCAGCCTGATCCATGCTAGCCACAGTGCCACAGGCTCTCTGGGGACCCTGTGTGCAGTGCACATGAGGATAACTTTTGATGCATTTTCTGCCAAATTATCTTTAAGTTGTTATGAAATCTGGTTCCATAATTTTTATTGATACTTTGTTCTTTTGGCAGTGGTACTGAGGACTGAAGCTAGAGTCTATATTATATTATATTATATTATATTATATTATATTATATTATATTAAGCAAGCAGTCTACAATGGGTGATATTCCTGGCCCTGAATAGTTAAAATTATTTCTGCGGAACAGGATTTGATAAAGGCAGTTTATAAAGAAACACTGAGAAGTTTATATTTCATCTATCTATCTATCTATCTATCTATCATCTATCTATCTACCCACCCACCCCTGGGAATGACACAAGTCTTCTGAAAAGCCAGCCCACAGTGACACACCTCTTTCAATAAAGCCACACCTCATAATCCTCCCCAAATAGTTCTACCAACTGTGGACCAAATATTCAAACATATGAACTTATGGGGGCCATTTTCATTCAAACCACCACATACAGTAATTTAGACAACATAGAATTTTAAAAATGCAAATTTAGAGCTGGTCCTGATGACACAAGCTTTTAATCCCAGGCCTCAGGAGGCAGAAGCAGGTGGATGTCTGTGAGTCTGAGGCCAGCCTGATCTACATGGTAAGTTCCAGGATAGATGAGACTATTTCAAGACTCTACACCCTCGCTTCTTCCCCTCCCCTCCCCAAATTTCAGAGGCCACAGACATCCTGTGCCTCCTGATGTGAAAGATGCAGGAATGCGCCCGTGCCTCTGCAGAGGAAAATTCTGGAAGCCAGCCAGGATGGAAGGATATCACGTGAACTTCATCACAAGTGCTTTCCCTAGGTAAATAGTTTCTGTTGTTTCTAGTATCTCAGCTTATCCCTACATCTTGCACTAGGGTAATCGACCCACCCATCCCACTTCCTATAAGTGTTTATTCCTCTACCTATACTACCCATATGGTACTCACCCATATGACACTCACCCATATTGTACTCACCCATATGGTACTCACCCATATGACACTCACCCATATTGTACTCACCCATATGGTACTCACCCATATGATACTCACCCATATTGTACTTGGCATATACTGATTTACATAACCTTTATAAATGTTAAGGTGAAGTTCACTGGTAGAGTTTTATCGCAGCTCTTGATAGTCATAAGCTATATATATATATTTGCATATATAATATATACATACACATGTGTATATATATTACAGTTTCAAAAGCAAACTAATTAATTATTATTTTTATTTATTTATTTATTTATTTATTTTTGGTTTTTCGAGACAGGGTTTCTCTGTGTAGCCCTGGCTGTCCTGGAACTCACTCTGTAGACCAGGCTGGCCTCGAACTCAGAAATCTGCCGGCCTCTGCCTCCCAAGTGCTGGGATTAAAGGCGTACGCCACCACCGACCGGCATTAATTAATTATTTTTAACACCACACCACTTTAAGAAGAGTTGTACGTATGTTTAAAATTATCTGGAATAGGGAGAGAAAAGGAAGCACAACACAGGGACTGTTGTTTTGGTCCTTGGGATGGGACTAACTGTGTTGTTTATATAATCTCAGCACTGAGCACTTAATTGGGTCCCACAAATTCTTGACGCTTAATTATTGCCCCAATACCCCAACACACTCTGAGTATAAATTGGAATAAAACAATGTGAAGATCAGTGTTACATTTCAGTTTGAACCATGTTTGAACCCATAAGACATTTGTGAATTAAAATAACACTGAAGTGAGGCTGAAGAGAGAGCTTGCCAGTTAAGAGCACTGACTGTTCTTCCTGAGGATCAGGTTCAATTCCCACCACCTGCGTGGTGGCTCACAATCATCCTAACTCCGGTTTCAAGGGTTCCAACACCCTCTTCTGGCTTCATGAACTGTGCATGCAGATGATTACAGATATAATGCAGACAAAACACCATACACATAAAATAAGTTTTTAAAATATATTATCACTCAGATTGGCTCCGTGAATAACATTGAATAGTATTGGGAAAGAATTCTCTGGACACTGAGAGAGAGATAACTTGGGAAGCCATCTTTTTAAAACTCTCATCTCTCAAAAATAACTGGTGTCAACAGTCTGGCATCCATTTTTCCAGATAACTGGCGAAGAGAAAGCAAAATTGTATTTAAACGTTTTAGAAAGTCATCTCTTGGCACCATTTGGTAAAACCACGGTAATAATCATTTCAGGCAAGATAGTAGAAATTGTCAAGCATGGAATGACAGAGATCTGGGTATTTTATACAGTTACAGAGCATAGTCTACAGATAGTAAACATGTGCTTATGAAGTACAGAAGGAAAGCCAGTGACTCCCCACTGCAGAATTCTGAAAAACAACACCTAAGTCTGATGAGCAAAACCTCCTGCATCAGGGCCAGTGGCTCCAGAAAGTGTCTCTACCACAAAGACATAGAAGGGCTGCCAGGTGAGGTACCCCAGCGCAGAGTCCAGCTATTCAGAGAAACGGACGAATCTTTTTTTTTTTTTTGAAATGGACGAATCTTAAATGCACTTAAGGAAAAGAAGGCAATTGGGAAAGGCCGCACAAAATGATTCCAACTCTAAGACGCCTGCAAAAGGCAAAAGATGAGAGTTAAATGATAGCAGCTGCCAGTGGTTAGCAGACAGGGAGGCTGGGACAGGAGCGGTGAACTGAAGAGTTCTGGTTTATTTGGAGACTCATTTCTATCTTGTGATGTTTTTCTGGAAACTGTCTTATGAGAGGATTTTTTTTTTTTCTGAAGCAGACATGACACGTGGGAAGATGTTTTTCTGAGAACAGACAGGTGGTGTTTTTCTGGAAGCTGCCTAGGAAAAGGGCATGTAATATTTTGCTAGAGCAAACACTTTAGAAAACGTGATGTTAGGAAAGGATTTAAAGCCAGGTGGTGGTGGTGCACACTTTAAATCCCAGCACTTGGGAGGCAGAGGCAGGCGGATTCCTGAGTTCGAGCCCAGCCTGGTCTACAGAGTGAGTTCCAGGACAGCCAAGGCTACACAGAGAAACCCTGTCTCGAAACACACACACACACACACACACACACACACACACACACACACACAAAGGAAAGGATTTAAATATAACGCAATAGACAGTGAATGATATTGTGTGGTATTGGTTCGCCTTGCCATTATTTGCTGGTCATCATTTGTCATGACTTCGTAGAGAGAAACACTGCCAAAGAACTGGTAGTGTTCTGGTGGCTTCTTACAACTTCTGCAGACTCAGGCCAATTGACAGAGCCTCACGGTTTCTTCTGGATCAACCTGCTGTTGTTGATTTGTAAATGGTGTTTGCAAGTGGATCCAGCTGTCACTGCTTATTCATGTGAACTGAACTGCTGATATCCTGACAATGCAGATTGGATTTGCTCCAAAGAACTATTTCTAAACAGGTCCACATCCTTCTTTGCTCTATTAACCTTTCCATTCCACTACCTCTGGTGGGTGGTGTGCTAGAAGGGAGGTGAAAGCATTTAAGAACCTTTATTAAAAGTAGATTTTGAAATATCTAAGCCAACAGAATAGGGCAGTGAAAGCCTTCTGTATAAATTGTGCCTGCTTGTTATGAAAGCAAACCCATGAGCATATTCGGCACTAAGAGTGAATCCGAATGGAATATGCAGACTTGGGGCGGTACCCATGCATTGAGCTAGGTGTGCTACCTCTCTGGGATGCTACACATGAGTAGGGGCAGAGGGTATAAAGGAACGCTCTATACCCAATTTTGCTGTGAATCTAAAAGTTAGGTGTACTAAAGGAGGAGGAACTGCCATGTAAGATTGCAGATGAGATGCTGCCTTCATGTGACCCCATTAAAGAGAAGGGCAGACCCTGCTCCGAAGAGAAAGCTTCTGGATCTCATGAAGGGAGACACAGAACAGCTGAAGGGTGCCAGCGAGAAGATGGTGACTCCACAAAGAAGCCAAGCTTAGCTTAGCTCCTGCCGCTCAGCAGCCTGGTCCATGAATGAGAAGCAGAAGCCTCCTCCAAAAGCTCAGCCAGGTGCCCTGGGAAGAGGAGACTAGAGGTCCTACCCTGCAGACCAGTACTCGGGCCTTAGAGATCTCAAATGAAGTTGTTGGGCTTAGTGAGACAGTGGTTCCTCTGGCAGATGGGTCAGCCAGGGAAAGGAATCCTATCTTTTCACTGCATGACTTGGAAAACAGTGGAGAAGACATGGTCTTGAGAGGGAACCTATTGTGTATAACTGGCGAGCTTCCTGAGATTAGTCTAGCATCCCCCAGTGTGAGAGAGAGCCCTGGGTGGCAGGCATGAGGAGTAAAAGGCTCAGACACTGACGAGAAGAGAAACCAGGTGGCAAGATCAGGCTGTGACTTGGATAGGGAGAGGCTGTCCTGCCTTGGTGGCCAGGAGCAGACACAACCTGAGAGTTTGATGCTCCCAAGCATGGAGTCAGCAGAAGGACAGTCTCTGGAGTCAGCCATCTGCCACTCACTGTGGTGGAGCCTGAGAACAATGAGGTTCCAGTACAAGACTTGATGTGCACAGCTTCCCTCAGCAGGGAAGGCTGCAACTGTCAGGGACCC